AAAGTGATAACAGCTCAAAGGGGTCGAGCAAGTATTGTTAGAAAATGCAGAACATAGGGCCGTGGCTGACTAAGAAGCAAGGTGTTCAGATTTAAGAACGTAATCTGAAATGATTAAGTTTAATACCTAGGCAGCGGTAAAAGGTAGTAGCGATTTCTTCCATTATCATCAATAAAACTGGATGCTCCGCCTCCTATACTGAGCAAGGGAGAGTTGCTGCCAGAAGTGTCAGTAAGTGGATCAAGCATTAGCTAAAACAGGAACGATACATTGAGAGAAAGATAGTCAACAGCAAATTTCCAAGAACGCGATATTATTAGAAATATAATAGCATGCGTAATACAAATTGGTTGATTAAGCTGTTTTTTTGGATGGGAGGTGAGAATTCGATTCGAACTCTGTGCTGGAGGAGGCAGGGGGTTTAAACTGCAATGTTACCTTTTCTATTGTGTACTCAGACGCCTAGTAAAGCTCACAACCAAATCGTCGCCTGAGGCTGTAATCACGAGGGAGTCGGACGATAATGATGGTGAGGCCACAACATTGGAAGAGTGTAAAAAGGATATGGTCTCAAAAGCATAAATACAGACCAGAAGTCTTCAGCGGACTGTGGCTAGCTGCTGACTCCGTACGCGAATAATGTCCCTCCTTACACAATGAAACTGTTCCATAACTTGGTCGTTTAACTCTCGTTTTTGGTAGGGCGGTTGTGGTACTTTGTTTGTTCGACTGACAATGTAAGTGTTAGTCGTCAGACTTCTGGCAGGTGGACTGGTCTTCGAATCATGTCAACTCTCCACCTCTACTACTCTTGTCTGTGTACAAGTGCTTGGCCAAAACCTATGTGTAGTGTTCTGAGACTTCCCACTAGGTGGAATAGGACATTGGGTTGGGCTGAATACGTGTGTTCTATGCGGGTAAGGAGTGATTGGGCCTTAGCTTGGCCCGAAGGCCAGCCCACGTGTACGAGGGCAAGAAGAATGGCATATTGACTGCCAGTCATCAGGTGGTCATATCAACAAAGTATTACATTTTGCTTTATATTACAGAACGAGGAGTCTTAGAACACTACATGGGCCGATTTGGGTGCCTAACATTCCGCACCTGCAAGGTTGGATGGCCTCTGGGTCATGCCAGTAGTCTCAAGCCCCGAAATACGCATAATACACTTGTATGCAGCACAAATATTGTCGTCTTCTGGTCTCCGGAAAGTCCTTCTTTGTTTTTGTTTCTAAATTGGGCAGTTCCTTCGAGCAATTGGCGTATTTTACCACCCCGGTGGGGGGAAGATGGTGGGGAAGGTAGGTACCGCAAGTGGCTCCATTTGTGGGCTCACTACGGGAAGGTTACTACAGTTTCGCTCCTCTCCAGCTTAACCTAATTTCCCAGTCTACAATAAGGCAATCAACACTAGGATCGGCACCAAATTTAAAAGATTTAAAGTGTCTGCTGGGAAATGCCCTATTATATTACACAAGGGTAGGTAAACCGCGCAATGAAGCAATACTTCTCGAAGCTAAACGAAATCGATTTCTATAGCCCTGTAAGTATCCTGAATATCCATTTCATCCTTTGATACTTTGATAACGCATTTCAACTCCTCAAAAGCCTCCGATCTTTAACACATGAATTAATTTACTGGAGGCTAAAACACTTGCGACCGAAGACAGGGAGGAAAAACTTCAGACGGCAAGTGTGCTTTCGGATACCATGCTTAATTGGGGTGGTTGCCTGCACCAAAAATTAGAATATTTCGAGTAGCGTAGAAGCTAAATATGCATAATTTTTTGAGCTTAAGTATTAAAAAGCCAGTAACTCTCAAGATTGAACATGAAGAGTAACAAGGCAAATTTTGTCTAATAAACAGTTTAGGAAACTAAAATCTTCTAGTCGAACTACAAATTTGGCGAAACAAAGCATAGTCTGATGTTAGGCAGTCGCATACTTTATTTGTTTAAGTGGTTGGAACAGCGCTTTCGCTCAAGCGCGGCATTTGACTGCTACGTTTCGGCTGGACGATGTCGGATTATCTTGAGTCGGAGGCCTCTGTGTCTTCGGATGAGGAGGGGCCTCCAAAGTCTAAAAGGCCCAGAAATGAAGATTCGATTTCGTCCGAAGACAGCGAAGAAGAAGAGGAACTTCTAGATGAAGAGGAGATATGCAGAAAAGAGGGTCAGGGATGGATAGTGAACGATGATGAAGACGATGGTGGCGAGGGATCTGATGATGGAAGTAATGCTAGCGAAAAGTCCGCTAGAGATGATGCGGTGGATGATGAGGATGATGTATTGGATGATGATGACTATCTCCTCATAAGAGAGAACGTTGGCATTAACGTACAGCGCAAGGTAGGTTCTGTATACTAACTATTAATGGCGAAGAAACGGCGTCTCGTCCTCGATGACGAAGATGAAGCTGATGTAGACGTGTCAAAGGCATCGAAGGAGGCTCGAAGTCGTGAGGCAATTGCGCGTCAGATATTTGAGGATGAAGATGAAGAAGTGGAGGGACAGGGTGGGGATTCCATTCGAGCTGCCCCATTGTTTGCCTCTAAATCCGATGACGAGGGCGAGGAATCGGATGGAATGGACGATTTCATTGTTGATGATGCCACAACAGATGGTAGAGGAGCGAAACCTAAAAGACAAATAGTGCACAAAGACCCATCGCTTCAACAAGCTCAAAACATCTTTGGTGTGGATTTCGACTTCGAAGAATTTGAGCAGTTCGGCGAACAGCTTAGTGAAGGTAGCGAGGAGTCGGATTATGAGGACGAAGATAATAAGGTTGGTGAACGACGCAAAAGAGGAAAATGTGAGTTGAAAATGGCTCCTCAAGGTCGGATCTATGAGCTTTTTGATCCAACGGACCTAGCTCGGAATTTTTACAGTCCGGAAGATGAACAAATCCGCTGTACTGATGTTCCGGAACGCTTTCAACTGCGTACTGTTCCCGTTAAGAGACTTAATCCACGATCCAGGAGCTACAAAGATGATCTGGTCGAACTGGAGAAAGAGTCTGAGTGGATTTACAATGCTGCATTCAGGGAAGGTCCCTCGAAGAAGGTTTGGTCATTACTGGTTTTGTTGCTCATTATTGTCTTATTTAGCCACCAAACGTGACAAACAATATCTTTGAAGTTTTGAAACTCTTCAAGGAGTCGCTTTCGGAGGTCCCTTTCATTGCTTTCTATAGGAAGGAGTGCATTAAGAAGGAGTTAAATATTAATGATCTGTGGTGCATTTACGAGTACGATGAAAAGTGGGAGATTCTTCAGCAGCGTCGTAGAGGATTAGTCCGACAACTAAAACGAATGAGTAGATATTTGGAGGCCCGAGTCAAAGAGGCTGATGAGATCGAAGACAATCGGGCGTTTGAAGGATTGCACCGCCTGATAGCTATGTAAGGAGAATCCGTTACACTCATTGTTGTTTAGGGCGAATAACGCAACATCACTGGAGGAGGTGCAGGACGTTAGGCTAAATTATCTTCTCCACTACGCGGGTCATACACAAGATATGGTGATGTGGGAGGGGAAGGAATTGAACACCACCAAGATGGTTTGTTTCTTTCTGGTTGACATGGCTTTTATTGCGTCACCAAAACAGGAAGTCCTGATCGATTGGACTCATTCTTGTAGGCATCGCGCAAAGAAGACGAGAGTTCGGTTAAGCGCTCCGACGAAGGAGACGAAGATGAAGACGGTGACGAGTATGACCCGAGCTATGGTATGAAGAGCCTATCTATGGGGACGGATAAGGTAACAGTAGAAGAGGACAAACATCGGACCATTGAGATAGTACGTAAACGAGAGCCAGGTGCGGGTGTTCTTACAACCACCGTGGATCCCATGACAGGTCGTCGAATTCGACAACGTCAGGTGCGTACAACCGTTGCATATGAAGTTGCTCAGCGAGCTGGCATCTCGGGGTTGGCGGAGAAGTTTGGGCTCTCTGCAGAGCAATTTGCTGACAATGTTCGCGATCAGTACCGACGTCATGAGGTGAATCAGTGCTCTATGCTGCCTCTCGAAGCTGCTGCCGACTTTGTGTGCCCACAATTTTCGGATCCTATCACTGTTTTGCGTGCGGCACGCTACATGCTGGCGTTTGAGATTTCTCGAGAGCCTGTCGTGCGCCAACTGGCTCGGATGAATCTATCAACACAGGCTGTGCTTGACCTCAAACCCACATCCAAGGGCATGCGACTGATTGACGAATCTCATCCTCTCTCTCATGTCAAGTTTTTAAGGAACAAACCTACAACCGAGCTCATGGGTGATTTGACGTATCTACACATACATAGTGTAAGTAGTAGGCGATTGAGACTGTTCGTATGCGTTTTGGTATAGGTCTTTGAGATAATTTGTAAATTATAGACCCTTTTGGAAGACATGGTCATTTATATTCATATGCTAAGGTAGTTATGCAGAGGCCTACTTGTACACTTTGTCTAGTATTGACTTGTGCCATTTCGCTGTCAGTTGGATCTAATGAGAATCAAGTCTGTCTGCTTGGTGAGGTGCTGCGTGCGGTGCCAATACGTATAGCCAAAAATGGTTTAAACATTGGAGAGGCATTGGATAATGATGCATTGTGTTTCGGAAGATGCCTCATTTTCTATCACGCAGTATTTCCCATTACTGTTGCTCGAATCAGATGCGAATTAATGTCAGTCGCTTTTGGTTGCATTCGGTGTGGGCAGCGTGTCAGCCAGAAAAGTCTTGGAAGGCAAGAAGCAAAGGAGGTTCACGTGCTGGGCATTAGAAGGCAGTAGACTTCCAAGACCAATAACTCATTCACAATATTTGATAGCAGTTTGAATAACTTGGAGTGGGAGGTGGCCTTCTTAATTCGATGCTTGTTAAGCGAACGAATGTGTTATTGCATGTTTCAGCAAAGCTTGTGTACATATGATGCGTTTTATCAGATTTTCCTATTGTCTCAGGCTGTCCGGGATGGATTGGTCACGGTGAAGGTGCACGTGCCAGAGTGTCAGCAGCGCGGCCTCTCGTTGTTGGATGATTTGGAGCACTATTTTCATCAGGACGAATTCAGTGCATTGGTGCAAGCTTGGAATGAGCAGCGGTCTTTGGTGTTGAAGGAGGCGGTTGAGCAGTTCCTTCAGCCTCATGTTTTCAAAGAGATTCAGGAAAAACTTCTCGATGCTAGCCAACAGGCTGTTGTGAAGGTGAATTTTTATTTTCCTATGTCTAGTAGTACAGTCAAGCAACTTAATTACTTGGATTAATAGGTGAATTAGAATTAGACGACCTTCATTGTTTGAATATAGAAGTATTTTGAAGCATATGTAAACGGAACTTCTTGTTCCACTTGGATTATAATTCCTGCAGCTAAGTGGCGAGTAATGCTTTTGCTGAACAATCTGATCAAAGAGATGGATGAACTTAAGACTAACAATCATGCCTTTTTCAATATCACCATCATTATTGCAGTAATCCAATCTATTGAGACAGTTAAGCTACCACACTAATAAGCTCTTTTGCTATAACGTCCTGTTCTTTCAAGTTGTGTGCGCAAAAGCTGTTCAAGTGCATAAAGGTGGCGCCATATGTAATGGATGACCATCGTTACGGAGCTAACAGTGGTGGTGGTGCTGTCGGGACGGCTGATAATGAGGGCGGTGGAAGTAGTCGTCATCATCACGGTAGTCGCTATTTCTCTGACGGAGTTGAGTTGCGTTCCGCTAACACCGTCTGGCCCAAGCCTGCTCGGGTGCTGGCTTTCGCGTTAAAGGACGATACTGAAGCTGTCAAAGCCATGGTTACCGTTGTTCGGTTGGACGCCGATGGGGAGGTCGTGGATTTTCTTAATCTCTCCGGCCTTCTGCACAGTACGCGCTCTCAACGGGAGGAATTCAGGAAGCGGCATGTAAGCGCTTCTGTTGGTTTGATGTCTTGATTAAAACTCATCAGCGTCACTTTAGTCAACTGCTGAATTGTGCTGTGCTTCTAGGACGACGATGTACGACGGTTGTCCCACTTCTTGACAAGGAGTGAACCACAAGCCATTGTGATCGGATGTAACTCACGACGGTCGCTGGGTCTGCGAGACGAGGTGCAACGGCTGGTGGAGAACCTCACGGCAGAGTCTCGTCTCTCTTCGCGCCCAAATATTGAGTTAATGGATACCGAATTGGCCGAGGTCTACGCGCGCTCTGAGGCAGCCACTGCTATTCTGCCATCTTCTTACTCGGTTCTGCTCAAGCAGGCCATTTCTCTTGGTCGCAGACTTCAGGTTGTTTGAACTGTTGTCTATTCTGTTTCGGCTAATCACACACTAAGTTGCACCTTCCCTTGATGCAGGCTAGGAGGGTATACGCTACAAGCTGTATAGTGTCCAACCTTACCATTCGTTGATGTTGTGGCGAAGAGTTTCTTTTTTATTAAGGAACGAATGTTTAGTAGCATTGGCTTCTGTACTGCTCAGTGTTGAAACAAGGGTCACTGAAGGTTTGGGCGGAGCCTGGATCGAGGACGTAATCCTACGTTTTGGGTGGGAATGACTAAAGTGCTAAACTTGTCTTGTAGGATCCACTGGCTGAATTTGCACAGCTTTTTAATCCACCCGATGCGGACATCCTGGGTGTGCGTTGGCACATCGCGCAGGACGAGGTGCCTCGTGAGATGCTTCTCAGAGCCCTAGAAATCGAGTTTATCAACCGCACCAACGAGGTTGGTGTCGATGTGAATCGATGCATACTCCATCCGCACACTGCCAATTTACTGCAATTTGTTGCAGGTCTGGGACCACGGAAGGCCTTTTACATGATTAAGGTAAATAGATGCATTCGTTGCTTGGTCTCTCCACTAGTGGAGGGACAAGTTGATACACGAATCGACTCTGAATGTGCCTTGCCTTTGTCATTCCAAGCATTTACTAGTGATGGCGTCAGTGGTAGCGCGATTTATCCAGATGACACTGAACGTTTCGCGTACGAAAACACAATTGCCACATATTTTCCTAAACTGTACTCTTTACTCATCTGTAGCCAAGTGAATTGGTGTGTTTAGAGTCTTAGCTGTGTGTATGGCTGCCATTTACAGTTGCTGAAACAAAACAAGGTGTTTCTGACAAACCGTGAACTGTTGGCCAAGGTTCTGCAGTTGGGACCTCATGTGGCTATAAATTGCGCAGGCTTCATCAAGGTCGACACGACGTCGGCACGAGATCTACTGGGCAGTGAGGACAATATTGAGATCCTGGACTCTACACGTGTGCATCCGGAGAGCTACGATCTCGCCCGTCAAATGGCTGTTGACGCTCTGGAATACGACGATGGTGATGACAATGACCCGACTGGGGCATTGGAAGAAATTGTTCAGAGGTTGGTTTATTGTATGTCACGAGTATTTTAACATTGAGTTAGTTGAAATGAAGTGCTGTGGTCGATGTGGTGGATTAATAATGAATCACAATTTTCATTATCCCTTGCAAAACTACTTTATCCTTATGAAAAGACGTGTGCACCTTCACTCAGCCACGAACTCATTCATTAGGTCTGTCAGCATAGTCTACAAGCTAGAAAGTCTAGTTGTTGCAATATTGGTTATTTTGCGCTGCTGGATGGATTTTTCATAAGCCTACCTATCATCCCTCTTTTTCTCTCCTCTTTCTAACAGTCCGGCTCGTCTACGCGAATTAGATTTGGATGCCTTTGCGGAAGAGTTGAAGCGCCAAGACCATGGTGACAAACACATCACTTTATACGATATTCGAAAAGAGTTAAATCATCGTTATCGCGATTTGCGCGATCCATTTGAGCCACTTACGCCTGAGCAGATTTTCAGTTTGGCTACCCACGAAACGCCTGAGACGTTGCACAAGGGTAGTCTCGTCGACTGTCAGGTTGTGTCCATTGTCACTAAAAAGCCTCGACCAGAGCAGGTAGACCAGGCTAGTCCTACGAAGAATGAAGTTACAGGTCTGTGGAAGTGTCCCTTTTGCAGGCGGGATGATTTTCGCCAACTCAACGACGTGGGTGATCTTTATAACTGTCTCATGTACTTTTTTCGTGGTGTTGATGTGTTAGATTGATTGTGTGTTTGATTTTGTGAATTTCAGATGTGGTCTCATTTCGACAGTAGTGATTGTCCCGGCCAACCCGTCGGTCTGCGGGTGCAACTGGAAAACGGTATATCAGGCTTCATTCCACTCCGCTTTATTGATCATCCTGTGGAGGAGACCCTTGATAATATCAGCCCGGGTGCAATTTTGCAGGCCAAAGTGTCGAAGATTGACATTACCAAATTTAGTGTGGAATTGACCCTTCGGTCGTCTGACATTCAGGTATGCTGTATCAATTTTGCTCAAAAGTGCGTCTTTCTTCCATATCCAATGGTATTACAATGCCGCCTTTGGGTGATCCTCCTCATGTGTACCCTATTTCGCACCGTACCCTAAGATCAATGAGTTTTGCAATCACGCGACTGTAGGTGCAAAATGTACGCGGAAGAGGTGTGCTGGTTCTGCCTTTTCTGTAACACAATGGGTACATTTCTAGGTGCCTTTTACTGAAGCTTATTACTTTCATACTAATTCCTACTCCCCTTCACGTAATCGAGAAGCTTGAAGTGTTGTTGATGGAGATACAGGAGCCGTCATTCCTTCTTACCTACTTTTGTTTTTGACGTACTGTCTAGAATGAGCGGCATATAGGTTTGAGCCGACGTGATGCCTTCTTCGACTACGCCGAAGAGGAGGCCGAACAACGTCGACAGGAGGAGGAGGAGGCCAAGGCAAAAGCCAGGGCCACTCGAACTTACCTAAATCGGGTTATTTTTCATCCACACTTCAAGAACATCACCTACAATCAACTAATCGCCATGAATCCTACTCTCGAAGTTGGCGCCATTGTTATTCGTCCAAGTCGTCAAGGCACTGATCACCTGACTGTCTCACTTAAAGTCGATGATGGTATCTTCAAGCACATCGATGTCATCGAGAAAGACAAATCACAGAGCTTTGGATTGGGCAAGACTCTTCTTATTGGCAATGAGTCATTTGAAGATTTGGACGAAATTGTGGCGCGCTACATGGAACCGATGGTGTCGCTCATACGTGAGGTTTACGCCTACAAGTATTATTGCGACTCCCAGGTATGCATTTCAAGTCGTTTCTTTTGACACTATATTCTCCCTTTTCACCTCTGAATCCGTCTGCCATCTAAGGATCCAAGCCTCCCTTTGTGCCGCTCAGTTTACTGGTGTTGCTGCCATATATGAGTTTAACTGATGAGTTCTTTCCCACGCGCCAGTTTATCTGTAGGCAGTGTTAAACGCAATTGCTTATCAAGCGCTGCTTCTGTTTGGGGTGTTTTGTCGGGAAGGAGGAGGGGTTCGAACACTTTTCTGTTGAATATGATCATTTGTTCTGGCATGTCTGTGCAAACCTCTTCTCTTTTCGATGTAGGGAGGTAAACGGGAAATTTTGGTCGAGAAGTTACGGAACGAGAAGTGTGCAAGTCACAATAAAATCCCCTACTTCCTCTCATCAACTGCCGAGCATCCAGGATACTTTATATTGGCATACATGCCCAACCAGACACCGCGTTTCGAGATGTTCTCTGTGAAACCAGAAGGTCTGAGGTTTCGGCAGCACATCTTCTCCTCGCTTGACCGCATGATTGGGTGGTTTAAGAACCACTATAATGAAATCGTGAGCATTTATAGTTGTACTTCTTTGCCCTAAGTCCATTGATCTCGCCAATACCGACGGCATTACCATTGTCGTTGTAGAATCTATCTGACTTCTGGGCATTCATTCTACGCATGTTTCTCTGAAGTACTTTAAAAAAAAATATTGAAAGGCATCCCACAGAGTGATAGGTGTAAATGGGCTATGTTCGTGACATTTGGAGTTGTGTGCCTGGCTGGTTGAAGAGCTTTTTGTGCTTTATTGTTTTATTTACCCGCTGTTCATAGTTGACTTGGCCTTTTAATTAGCGTCCACACTACGGCCATCATCGGAGCAGCGGTGACGATCGTGGTGTTGGTGCTCTGGACGATATTGGCAACAGTCGGACCCCAAAAGTGGATGATTTCTTCAATATACCAATACCCCACAGCAATGCAGCTTTGAAACCCTTGTAGCTACCTCGTTGTCACAGCACACACCCCTTCTCCCTTGTACAATAGATGCTCCTGTCGATAAGTTGTATTTATCTACCAATAACTTGTACCTATTTTCATGATGGTGAAGTTATTTTAATTGCAGGAAACGGACTTTTCTAGTGAATGGGGTGGTAGGGACGAGTTGAGTTTATTTTTGCTGCCTCAAATCTTCTCCCTAATACGAAGAGTCTAGGACTACCGGGATGCATTGCCTGCTTTAGCTCGGGTTGGGGGCTCGCGATTCACAATGAGCAAATAGTTTGGCCGCGAGATGTGTCTTTATGCATCCTAAATCACAAGGAGAGACGGGAGAGGTGGTTGCGGAGGTTCACGACTTAGCCAAAAGAAAACTTAATGCTTGGGACAATTTTTGTCCAACAAAGGGAACCGTTGCCAATTGGGTTGTTTGCATTACTCGGCGTGGAGTAATGATTGAACGTCGCAATCGTGATCAAACGGATTCAGAAGGGTAGTGGTAACATTGGTGGCAAGTAGGAGCAGTGTTCGCACACGTTATCAGCCAAATTTTTGCCATCCTAAACCTACAGAGGTTCAACAGTCTTATAATTCGGGTTTCAAATTTAGCTCCTAGAGAAAATGCTACCTGTTCGCATACAAATCTTACACAATTTCACCATTTCTTAATTTTCAAGCAACTTGATTAAAACAATATTTTTGCAACCAGGTTTTAC